TTAAATTTTAGAAATTAGTTTATTTTTAGTTTAATTTTAATTTAATTTTATTTTTATTTTTATTTTTATTTTTATTTTTTATTATTTTTATTTTATTTTATTTTTATTTTAAATAAATCCTCAAGAGATTTGTTCTTAAAATTTTATCGGGATAAAAGACTGGGTTTTACACTGTGTGGGAGACTGGTTATTTCGAGGAAGTGTAAAACAAAGAGTTTACTTCCGTAAACCCTTTTCCACCTCCTCCTCTCCCTTTACAGCCGCAATCACATTCTCTCTCTCTACTCTCTCTCATCGAAATTTTTGTTGAAGTTTTTGAGAAATCGGCCTAGTACATCTCGAAGGTATGATGAATCCGACCAAGGATATGCTCTCTATTCGCCATTCCGACCAAAAACGAAGGAGTAATCGAAGTTTAAAGTTCTGTCGGCGTTTACTGTTCACGAGGAGTTTACGGTTTCGGATCATTCAAGAACCGTAAACCCAAAGTGGTCTTACGACCGTAAACCCGAGTTTTGGTCTTACGACCGTAAACTCAGTTTTGGTCTGTTGACCATCTTTGACCGTAAACCCATTGACTTCCTTTGACCGTAAACTCCAATGTTTGACTATTTTGACCATAAACTCCAATATTTTGTAGTCAAACTAATTTTAAAAGCCAAAATAAATTGTCTAATTGAGAAAACTAAATGATTTAACTTATTAAATCCTGTGTTTTCTTACTTGGCTTGTTTAGTGCAGAAAAATGGCCAATCTTAAGTTCGCGGATATGCACAATTTGGCGATCGTGTTGGATGATCCTCCAGTCGCTCATGCGGAGTTCAAATCCATGATCTACAGGCTAAGGGAGTGCTGCTTATCCTATGCCATCACAGTAAATCCCGTCATTTATCAAAACATCATCCGGGAATTTTGGCAAACTGTAAAAACAGAAAAGGTCAACGGAGAGATAACAATTGAAGCCATAGTCAAAGGTTGCAAGATCACTATTACGGAGGAGTACATCAGAAATACTTTGCTTGTCGTGATGAATCCAATTTCCCTACTGAAATTGGAATTGAAGATGTACAAAGGGTTCTTGAGAGGATGGGATACGAGGGTATCTACCCTCCCACAGTGAAGAAGCTCCTGCCTCCTTACTGGCGATTCCTGGCACACGTGTTCGTGAGCTGCATTTCTGGCAGGAGATCAGGAGCCGATGAGATCTCTCTCAGAAACACCGGGGCAATTGTCTCCTTGGCTGCTGGCATAAAGTTTAATTTCTCAAAGTTCATTCTTGATGAGTTCTTGGTGAACATTAACGCCATTACCCGGGGGACCAGAGATGCATTTCTACTTTATCCAAGGCTTATCAAGTGTTTGTCGACGATCAGTTTCCAGAAATGGTCAAGGATGGTGACAAGTTGGATATCAAATCCTTGGGCCCTCACACAGTTGGTCTTATCAAGCAAAATAGAAAGGGCAAAGTCGTTTTTCAAGGATTGCATCCTCTGGTCAAATTTGGAAAATTTGCTGAAATTGACGAGTCCTCTGAGTCGCATGGAACGTCAGAGAAAATGTCATCTGAGCCAACTTCCTCCGAGAGGGTTATTTCTGAAAATGTCATCACTGTCTCAGATCATGAAGAAGAAGAAGATCCAGCTGTTAATGCTGATGTAGCTTCGGAACATGAAATGACATCCACTCGGGTTCAAGAAGATTCTCACAGGGGGTCGGGGTCAGAAACTGACTTGTATGAAGACCTGGATCTCACAGGTTTTGACAATGATGAAATTCCTGTTAATTTTGGGAGTAACGAGGATTTCCTGACAGAGGTAAACCTCAATGAGTTGCTCGACAATGTCAATGAAGTTGCTAAACCGCAACTGAGACAAGGGAAGAAGAAAATGTTCTTGAAGCTACACCTCCATCAACCAAAACATCGGCGGAAATAGCAATTCCTATGGTGGTGACGTCAGGGATTCCTCCCCTTGATGTTGCCTTACCTACATCTACGCCGATAGAAAGTGATCCTCCAGTCACTCAATCTACACCCACTTCTAGCAAAAGACGAAGACTTGACCCAAGACTGGTGACTCAAAGTGCTTCAGCTCCACCAACAACAACCCCTGTCATAGTCTCAACTGAGCCAATCAGTGAAGGTCCTAGTACCTTCTACGAAACCGGTGGCTCGTCCTTCCCAACGGACTTCTCTCCTCCGAGGCCAGAGCACAACGCTACCTCTGTCAAGTTAGCAACGCTCTTGGCCAGAGAACCATTTTCAACATCACCCTTGCGTGGCAAAGGAATTTATATAGGGGGTGATAACACAGGAGAAGAAGGTCTTACACTTTTTGGTCTTCAGAAGCAGATCGATACTCTGAGTCAGAAAAATGTCGAGTTGGATCAGAGGAATATTGAGCTTGACATTAAAGTCACAGGCCTTCAAGCTGAAAACACACAGCTCAGTATTCAAATGGCAGAACTTAATGAAGAAAATGCTGCAAAGACCAAACAAATTACAGATCTCCAGACTCATTTTGGCCTTCTAACAGCCAGTTACTATGACTTGAAGAAAAAGCTGGAAGATAAGTTTGGGGGCGAATTCAAGTCATCTGTTGAAGAGCCACAGATTTATCTTCCTAATCAAGATGCTCCCATTGCTTCTACAACTATCAGAACCACCACCGTCGTAGACCGCTTTGAAAAGGAACCAGAGCAAGCTCCACGTGGAAAGGCCTTAAAACGCAAGAAGTCGACCCAGGAATCTGAAAAGGGTCAACTTCTATTCAAACGAAGCGCAGATCATAAGGCGCCCTGGGATAAACAACAGGTTACTGTTACGGATCTGGGCGAAAATCGCTTCAGAGACATTTATGGTGACAGGTCTGGAATCATCTCATGGGGATTCCATGACACGATGAACATGTTCATGGTAAGGAGAAAGAGCGGCAAAAATGAACTATACAAAGACGCTCACGACTTTGACTCTTTTACCAAGATTGATCTTATTGAGCTGTCTAAGGCTCCTTTCTCCAATCCTTCAAATAATCCCAGGGCGAACCAGTTTAAATCGTTTTTGGAAGATCAAGTTGCTAAAGGATTTCCTTCGATGAAGACCGCTCAGTCAATCGTCAAGGTTCACCCCAATGTGCTTGATCCCAAGACTGATCAGCCACTTAAACAAGTGATGTGGCCAGCTACCGCACAAGTGAAACAAGTCCCTGTTCTTCAAAACTACCCTGATGGTTCTCTTGCATCCATGCTGTATTGGGTATATGATGAATTAACAGATGCCGCTGTCATCAAGCTTAAAGATGATTGCATCCGTCTCTACGAGAAAAGGGACTTGCTTCAATTTCACCAATGGGACATTCATCATCTTGCCACTCAACAGATTAAGGTGGCTGAAACAATATTTGAGCCCGCGGCGAAAGAATACACGGCGATGGTGGCTGAGATCATTGAGAAGAAAATGTGGAATGGTGCAATGGGAACGTCGGATGTTCTGGTGGTCGACAAGGATTGAGTCTAAGCTAGATCCAAACCAAGGGGGAGATTGAAGGACCCTGGAAATGGTTTGGTCTAGGCTTTCACTGTTTTTGTGTTCAGAATGAGTCTGTTATAGTGTATACGGGTTGTTTGTTGTTTGTTGAACTTTTTGTGTGTTTACGACCGTAAACTGTGTTTACGGCCGTAAACACGTTTACGACCGTAAACTGTGTTTACGGCCGTAAACACGTTTACGACCATAAACTGAGTTTACGGTCGCAAACCCAGTTTATGATCGTGTCTTGATCGTGTCTTGTATATATAGAGGAGGTGTTAGTCTTTTAGTGGTTATTGATGCCATAGAGTCCTATCGAGTTGTACCAGACGATTTTCTCAATATAATCGTGTGCAAGCTTGATTTCTTTTCATCTTACTCTTATTTTATGATTGATTGTTGTGTAACTACTGGTAAAGATCCTTATTTGGACCTTACAGGTGACTTTCATGAGTTAGAAAATGATACCCATAGTTGGAGACCGTTTGTTTCCACACTATTAGAGTAAATTTTGGTATAATGTGCCTTGCAGAGTGGACACTACCCGAGAAAGAATTTATATGAAGAATTTGGAAGTGAAATTCCTATTGACCTAGGAAAAGTATTAGAATATGTTAGATCGAGCATATACGTGAGAAGGATTCTAAAAAATGGTGAGTCTAGGAAATCCAAGATGTGTTTGATAAAGACATGAAATCCGTAGTTGAGTCTAGGAGAAATTGTTGTATGTGCTTGTTTGAATACATACATGTGTGATAAGTCGCTTTGTGATTTTGTATGGTAACTTGGGAACACTACAAGAAAAAGACCCTTTTACGACGCGCAAACCACGACACTCATTGATTTATGTTACGCAAAAGAGAGTGACATTAAAAAAGTGTCATCTCTTCAAAAAATTTAAGGATTTAGGTCATGCATTATTGCGTGCCCTTAAATTAGTGTCATACGAAAAAAAAAAAATTAAAAACACGGAGGGCGCTGTATCTTAAATGTGCGTCCTCTGTATAGGTGTTGCTTTATAATTTTAATGAACGCGCGTTTATTAGACGGGGGGAAATGAAATCCCCAAAAAATTAAAACCCCGCCTGTTGCGTCTCCTCCTTCTCCTTCTCCTTCGTGTGTTCTCCTCCTTCTCCTTCGTGTGCTTTCCATTTTGTTTATCTCAAACCCTGCTTGAATTTCACCATATAATTTATTCTCTCCTTCAGCCGACAACCTTCACTCTCTCCTTCTCCTTTTCTCTGCAAACCCTAATCCGCCTCCACCACTACTGAATCCCTTTTATTTATCCTTAAGGATTAACGCAACCAAGCTCGTATCTCAGATCAAGTACTCCGACGTGGAGTTAACCCCGACACGTCAGATGCAGCTCGATACTCTCTCCAGAGCTCTCCGCAACGGCCTCGAACTCGCTAGAAAATTCCTCGTCTCCAGGCGTTGGAACGTCTACAAGAACCTATAGTTGTCGCGGAAGATGGAGAAAGTCGATAAGAAGATATCGAGGTTCTTACAGTGCCCTCTTTGGGCTCAAGTCCTCGCTGACGTGCATCACGTGAGATTCGAGACCACCGAGTGGTTTGATCGACTTGAGGGCTCCGCTCAGAGGCTGGAGTAGCAGATCGGGTCCATGAGAATCGGAGGAGGCGGTGAAGGATGGTGGTTGGAGGAGGCGATGAAGTCTGGCTAAAATTATCCTTGGAAATTGCACCGGCTCAAAGACCTCATGGTTTTTTAGGTGTATGGAGTCCCATACTCTCAGCAATTGGGAATGCATTCAAACTTCAGGTCAAATAATTGAACTCCGTGGATCCAGCCTCTCTATTTTGTAGTGGCATTATTTTACCAGTTTCTCACTATGCGTTCAAAGTATTATGCCATGCCATTTATATTTCTTAAACTATATCTTTCTGCTTTTTTATATGACTATCACTTTGATTTATTAGCAGCAATGATTCCCCCTTGCAATGGCTGAGGGCAGATCCCGAAATGGAGTATCTTGCTGAGATTCATTTTAATCAACCTGTACAGATGTGGGTATGTATGTTCTTGTATCTTATATTCTTTTATTTTTATATATTTCTATATTTGAATGTTTTGAGAATCTATATAAACGCAAAAACCAGATAAATCAATTGGAGAAGGATAAAGATGTTGTGGCTCAAGCAAAATCAATCACAGCACTAGAGTTGTTCCCTCGACTTCTTTCAATTATTAATGCTTTAAGTAATCTCCTTTGTGATTCTCAGGTACTCTTTCCCTCTTGTGCACCAAATATCAACATACTTTTTGTTTATTTCTTCTACCTGTCCATTGAAAAAATCTACCCAGTTATAGAATTTTCAAAGTAAGAAATTCTTTTAAAGTACAATGATTTAGTTTTCTGTAAGAAAATTATTAAAGTGCAACTGTGACCTTTTCTACCTTGTTAAGGCCTTTTGGCGTGTTCGGATTGAGGCGGCTTTTGCTTTAGCTAGCACAGCATCCGAGGTATATATTTGTTGGTATAAATGACTGAAATACCCTTTCTAAGATTATTACTAGATTTTCTTGATATTGGTCATTGATGCATCATTTACTTTATTGTTCTTCTAGGAAACTGATTGGGATGGTTTACTGCATCTAATTAAATTTTATAAAAGTCGAAGATATGATGAGAAAATTGGACTCCCAAAGTAAGTGTTGCATCCTTTCTCAGTTTTAATAGACATCAAAACAATGTAAAAAGTTTTACTGACTGAAATACCCTTTCCTAAAGATTAATTTTCTTTTCATGCTCAGGCCAAATGACTTTCATGATTTTGCAGAGTATCTTGTACTCGAGGTAATGCAATGAGGTAGGATGTGTATTGTCAACAATGTCCAAAGTTTTTTTTTAAAAAACACAACATGCTTTTATAATCATATTGATACAAGAAACATATTGAAATGACATTTCAACTTTTTAATACAATTATATTTGTATTATTTATACAATATTATTTATCTAGGCGAAATCATTTATTGAATTTGTTTCATTTTTGTGGATTATGATGTCTTGACAGGCTATTCCACATGTTGTAGCTTTGGTTAGAGCAGCAGATAAGAAGAGCCCTCGTGAAGCTGTTGATTTCATTTTACAACTATTAAAAGTAAATGTTTCTTCCACTATTCCACTCCCACACATATTACCATTTCATTATCTGGTTTTTATATCTTCAATGTTGTTTTCTTTTTGGGGGTACTTTCAGTACAATGAGAACAATGTGAATCCGTATTCTGATGTTTTCTGGCTTGCTGCATTAGTCCAATCAGTCGGTGAACTTGAGTTTGGACAACAGGTTTGTTGGCAATTGGCATGCCTTTATATCGCATATATAAGTTTAAATTTTATGAAAATATTTTGATAATCAATTTTTTATCTTTTGATTATGCGATATAAAGTACTCTACTTACATTTGAAAGCAAAGTTTGTTTCTTTCTGTAATCTGTATATATTCAAATCAAACTTAGACTACTGCATATGCATATGTGTTTATGATTGCAGCATGCTATATCAAATCCAATGATATGAGAAAAGAAAACAAATAGTTCCTAACTTCTTATTAGAAACTCTATAAATCCCATAAACATGCTATATATCAAATCTAATGATATTATTGTTTCTTGATAATTATTGCAGTACTGATAATCAAAGTGTTGATAGAGCATATCATATTGGACAGAAGAAGGATGTTATTGTATACCGTTTGATGACTTGTGGTACAGTTGAAGAAAATATATACAGACAACAGGTTAAACATCATCTGATCTTTAAGTTCTTCCTCATGTGGAATATAGCTTATTGCTTAAATTTAATGAGACAGATATACAAAGGGGGTATTCAAAAGTGCTACCGAAGACAAAGAGCAAATTCGCAATTTCGATTATTGGGTGAGTACTGGAAAGTTGGACATTATTCTTATTTTATTTCACTTAATAATTAATCAGTGGGAAACAATACTCACATGTGCTTGATATCTCAGGATCTTAAGGAGTCTTTCAGTCTCCCCGAGCAGGGTTTTGATGTTTCTCTAACTCAGCAACAGTTACATAAAGAGCATGATTCTGAACCCGGAATGTTTGTAATTCCTTTAACCCTTCATTTGAAATATGTTCACTAGCATGATATAAATGATTAGTTTTTGTATTTTCTGTAGAAGAAAATTTTCATTTACTATATTATATGCTTTCTGAAAAACTATGGACATTAAGACCTTGTTTTTTCCCAAGTGTTTCCTGGATAAATGATCTGTAAAAGTTATTTGGAAAAAATGATGGCATAATTGGAGAAATGGAAGTAAAAAATAAACGACGACATAATTTAAAAAAAGTTTGGACTTAATAGGGAAAGCCTAATTTCCCTTACTTTCCCTATTAGATCCCTCTTTCTAAATTAAGTCAAAAAGAAACATGCATATATAGCTAACCAGATAAAGTCTTGTCCCCACTAAGTCCATTAAGTAAAAAAGAAACAAATTCTAATTAGTTACTTATGATCATCTCATTATTAGATAAACATGACACCTGGCTTTCAGTCAACGTTAAATTAACCATCTTATTGATATTTGTTATCTTAGGGATTCATCTCTTGAAGCTCACATAAATTTTTTAGAATCTCTTTGTATTGCTGGTATTAGTCACCACAATTTGCTGTTCTCCAAGACTGCTCCAGTGCCAGTCATGCAATATTTTGAACTGAGAAGGTGAGACCCCTAACCTCTTTGCAACTTTCTATTGTCATTTTCCTCTCTTATTATGGAAAAAAAGTTTCTAGATCATGAAATGACATCCAAATGATGACTACTTAATGTTTTTAAAGGAAACGGATCGTGAGTTTCTTTTAAGGATGTCCTACATGGAGATCTACAATGAGGAAATCAATGATTTGTTGGCACCAGAACACCGAAAGCTGCAAATCCATGAAAGCATTAAAGTAAAGTTAAATGATTTTTTTTTGTATATGTTTGTTGTTGTATTTTTCTAATTAAGTTTTCGTATGTAGCGTGGTATATTTGTTGTTGGCTTAAATGAAAAAATTGTTACTAGCCCAAAACAAGTGCTTGAATTTATGGATTTTGGTGAAGGTAATTACTTTCTAGTTTCTACTCATGTATTCACATTTTATCTGTTTTTATTTCTTTATAGTTTTAAAGATCTAATTTTTTCTACTTGGTTATTTATAATTATAATTTGTAGCTCATCGTCATATTGGGGAGACAAATATGAATTTACACAACAGTAGGTCTCATACCATTTTCCGCCAGAAAAGACCGATTTTGTTTATGCTTGTTTGAAAATCAGAGTAACATTTTAAATAAAAGTGTTGCGGAATTTGTCCCAAAACAAAATATGATAAAGATTTATCAAAAGCATTTCCAAAGAAATGTATTTCATTAAAAGACTCGGGATGTCATGTTCGATACAGATCAAAAGCATAAACAGTACAATATAAGCCTTACTACATTATTTCATATCTACAGGCCTATATCCGTAATCCCTCATCCAAAACATCACATCTATGCTCGAGCGCCACTACCTGTAATACATGAAACTGAGTGGGTCAGGCTTGGGAGCCTGGTGAGCACATAGGGTTTTCAACCCACAATAAATAAGTTTATTAATTTCATCAATCAACAATAACCCGATTACCCGTTCCCGTTATCCTCACTTTACGTCCCTAAACACCTATCATAAGGGACCTAGCCTAAGGATCATCATCGGGATGGACACTACTGTTAAGGGGGTTCCTTAGCAATAAATGTCCTAAAGGCAACCATGAGGGGGATGGAGTACACCGGTGAACACATTGTTCACAAACACCTACAGGTTGCGAGTCTTCCAACGTTCCACTGGACTGTCTAGAAGAGTCCGTGGTCGTCATCTATACTCCGCTAGATGACTGGATCACCAACAACATCGAGGCCTCTCATCATTTTATCACACATCGTCTTATTACATCTACCCATGTTTTACCCCAACATTTTTATAGATATAAAATACATATACAGTTTAAATCATGAAAAACATGTATAAAATCATTCATCCAACATAAACAGCAAGTATTAAGATAATATGCACACATAGCACGTAATTTATATAAAATACTTCATATCTATGTGTAAGATGAAAGTAACTATGCACTCACTTGATTAGGTGGTGACTCGGTACTTGAACATCACTTCGTTATCTCAAAACAATTTTTCCTTGACCAAAACCTAGTATTAATACCACTAGAGTTTAGTTTTAACGTTAATCGCGACTAATTAATAGTCTAGCTATTATTACTATTATATAAACGTTAAATAACACACCATATAACTCATAATAATAGCCCAAATAATTATTTTAAGGTCCTAATAATGTTAAATAAAAGCTATATTAAATATAGTATAGGCGTAGCTCACTTACAGCGGGTTTTTATTAAAAACCGGGCTTCGCTGGAGCAGCGTTTCCGAGCCGAAAGCTTTTCTTCTCGGAGCCGTCGGGCGCTCCGGGGCTTCTTCTCGTGATAGGGAGGTTCCCTAGACTTGGGAGGGGTTTAGGGAGGTTAGAGAGAAGTTAGAGAGAGAAAGAAAGGTTTGAAGTTGTGAGGAAATTATGAAGAGTTCATCTCTTATTTATAGGAATTGTATAGTAAAGTAGTCTCCAAGCTTCGTCCGTAACTTTCACATACGAGCTCCGTTTTTGTCTGTCTTTTTACCGTTGAGTTCCTATTAATGAGATCTTCAACTCTCATTTAGACCTCGTTGGCTAATTCTCATTCTATCTCGGATTTACAAAACTGTATCGAATTCGCCGCGCTCGAAAAGTAGAGACTAAGCTTCGTCCATAACTTTCGCATACGAGCTCCGTTTTTATCTGTCTTTTTACCGTTGAGTTCCTATTAATGAGATCTTCAACTCTCATTTATACCTCGTTGGCTAATTCTCATTCTATCTCGGATTTACAAAACTGTATCGAATTCGCCGCGCTCGAAAAGTAGAGACTAAGCTTCGTCCATAACTTTCGCATACGAGCTCCGTTTTTGTCTGTCTTTTTATCGTTGTGCTACTATTAAAGAGATCTTCAATTCTCGTTTAGGTTGTGTCGGCTAAAAACCGCTCGATCTAATATTCGAACTTCGGGCTGTACACTGCTAAGCCGAAACTTCGAAAAATCATAACTTCCTCATACGAAGTCAGATTTGGGCGTTCTTTTTATGGATGCTCTCGGTTTAACGTTTTCTACGACTTTCATTTAGATTGCTAAGGCTAAAACTCGATTTATCGTAAATTCACTATTTACGCTTCCCGGTGCCGTGCCGGTTCCGTCACGAAACTTCGACGGGTCATAACTTCTTCGTTATAACTCGGATTTCGGCGTTCTTTATATCTCCGGAATCCTTGTTTCGACCACTACAACTTTATGTAAAGATATCGGGCTTATCTCACACTTTAATTTTGACGCTTATTTTTATTATTTATTAATTATACATTTATAATTAAATATTAAGCACATAAATTCACATAATTCACAAAATACTCAAATATTTTATCTTTATTACATCAAAAGAGTTACAATAGTTGACCTAGACTATTACATCGTCTAAAAATGCTTAGCCCCGAAACCCGGGCGTTACATAATGTAGATTATGGGATCCAAGAGTTTGGTTTGTATTGGAGTCAAAGGGTGAAATGGGAAAAGCGATGTTTCAGACTTCTTGCATGAAATATGGATTTTTTTGGGAAGTTTTTAGTCCAAGATATCTAGATAATATTGTGGGGCTCTTCAATACCTTTCCGTGGATATAAAGATCGTCGAAAACGGAGTTGGAACGAAGAAGTTATGATTGTTTGAAGTTAGGAAGGTTTTGGGCTTAGTCTAGTATGCTGGGCGTACATGGAGTACGTTGGGTGTATGCGATTAGTGCCCAAAACCTATTTTCGTTGTTTGAGTCCTATTTAAGCTCCTTAACTTCCCCAAACCCATTCCATTATGAACCACCACCTCTCCAACACCCTCCCTTGAAGACCTTAACCCTAGTTTGAGCCTTTTGAGCAAAAGAAGGTGTGCTTGAGTGCTTTGGAGTGTTCTTGGTGCATCTTGGAGAAGAAGAAACTCTTTGGAGAAGTTTTGGTTGCATTGGATCTTGTAGATCCGGACTTTGTTCACCTTGATTTTTCTTCTAGATGTATATAGTTTGAATCTTGATGATTCATTTGACAGATCTAGCTAGTCTTGGATGTTATGAGTTTTTGATCACTTTAGTGCATAAAGTTTAGATTTTGAAAGTTTTTTACCTTATTATGGATAAAGTTGGAAACTTTATCCATCTAAACATCATATTGATTCATATCTGAAGGCTTGAGACTTGGACTTAGTGGTTTTAGTTGGAAAGGATGCACTTTTGGTCCCTTTGAGACAAATACTAGATCTTGGTTGGTTAGATCATTATAAAGGATAAAGTTTGAAACTTTATCCATTATGGAGTTATTAGGAACCATAAAATGTAATTTAGACCTTAGTTTCCTTCCATTCCATGCATGAGCTAGGATGTCTTAAAGAGTTAATAAGTTAGGGTTTTTGGTATTGATGTGACAACCGTCAATTTTGGCCAAGTCAAAGTCAACTAAAGTCAACAAGTCAAACCGGTCAACTCATCTAACCCTTGTATATTAGGGTTTCCATTATGTTTCTTATTGAACAACTCGAAATCTTAATACAATGTATCACTTAGAGTTTTCACGTGTTCGGAAATTCTAAACCCTAATCAGGGCAAGTGATGAAACTACTCGATAAAACATTATTCCTTGACCCTCGGGGGCATATAACAATCATAACAAGACTTAACGAGGTTTAGGAACCTTGAATTACAGAGCCAAACACTCAAAAAGGTCACAAAAGAAGTCTCTCTCAATCTCTTTCACTCTAACTCTCCCAAAACTCTCTAAGTAGGAGAAATCGCTCCAAGAATGTGAAATCTCTCCCAAAGCTCTCTCTGTATGAGAAATCTCTCTAAGTATGTGAAATCTCTCCCAAATCTCTCTCTGTATGAGTAATCTCTCCAAGAATGTGAAATCTCTCCCAAAACTCTCTCTGTATGAGAAATCTATCCAAGAATGTGAAATCTCTCCCAAAACTC